ATGGTGTGGCAGAATGTTAAACATTAATTTTTTGCCTGGGGCTCCATTTTGTCTACCACCACCAGCACGCAGAGAGCCGACCTGCAGAAAAACGTAGTGGGAACCATTCCAAAAGGTATGTTAGAGACAAAGGGTGGGGTTTCCCCCTCAAAGAAGCCAGAGTAATTTTACTCTGCAGCTTATATCCCTCTACGGCTGGTTTCTTTGTGGCGCCAATGCAGCTTGCATATCTCTGCAGCTGTTATTAGTTTGTAGCGCATTTGAGGGCATAAATTGTTCTGCAGCTCATGTACCTCTGCAGTTCCTGTGCATTGTAGCTCGTAGCTCGATGAAGCGCTGTTGTAGCGCAATCATCATTTTTGTAGCGCTCATCTTCTGCAGCTCAGATTTTGTAGCGCATTTAAAGCGCAAATCAATCTGCAGCTCATATATCGCTGCAATTCCTACTGGCTTGTAGCGCAAATGAAGCGCTTATCAGCCTTTAGCGCAATCGAAGCGCTTATCATTCTGCAGCGCATGAAGCGCCAATTAGTTTGTAGCGCGTACCACTTAGTAGCGCATTTGAAGAGCAAATTCCAAATAGGTCTGTAGCTCATGTCCGTCTGCAGCTCATGTATGTCCGCAGCTCATGTCTGTCTACAGCCCGTATCTGGACTTATCGATTCTGGAAATCAAAGCCCTGAAGGCTTCGTTTCTCCACTCCGTTTTGGGGTTCAGCCAGTGAAGGCGTGACAAGGTTTGCGTGGAGATATTCCAAGGCGCTACTCCATCTCCCGATAAGAACGGAGATTGAATGTGATCTAAAAAAAACCAAAAAAAAGAACAAAAAACGTTCTCACCGCATACTCACCACGCGAGGACTCCTCTGCGAAGACGGGAAGGACGGGGTCCCACACCTGTGCCAGGCGTGGGATCCGCTGGGTGCTCCGCAGCCCGGAGTGGCTCCGGTTGCGAAGCCCGCTCAGCGGACCTTTCGCGAGGCTCGGTGGACCCTCTCCGATGTTCCGATGTTCCGATGTTCTCCGCGGTGCTTCCCAGGTCGCAGTCAGGTTTCTTCGACACACACCAACCGAAGTTGAAGCGCGTGTACCCGGAGCGCCGACTGGCAGCCTTTTATAGGCTGAACAGAGGAGGGGGCGCCAAATCCCAGCTTCGCGGGCTCGCCGCTAGGGGGAGTAGGAGATTACGGAGGGGGTGCAGGATGCTGATGCTGAACGGGCCCAGCTGGGAAGAAAGAAGAAAGGGAGGGGAGGGGAGATCGAGGACGGCCGGCCTAGGCAGGCCGAGAATGCAATTTCCCCCGTGGTGGGAGCTGGGAGACCCTTGTGCTTGGACAGGACAGGGTCGGGGGACACGCAGGATGAGCCCCTGGACCACTGGCACCTTCTTGCTGACAGGTTAGTGACCCGCGCGCGACAGGAGGTACCAAGGCCAACTGGCCTCCGCCCTCCCATCCCCCCGCCGAGGTTTTGGGTGCTCGTGGTCATTTTCTGGGGCGTCAGCCCCTCTTGTTCCCTGGGTCCCCAACTGCACCCCTCTTCCAGGACGCCCCCCACCCCACTTCCGGGCCTTGGGAGTCGCTTCCCAGGCTTGACCCTTGGCCTTCTCTTTTTCTTGGCACCCCCACGGGCCCCTCCCTGCCCAGAAAGCGCCGAAATTTTATCTCCAATTTCCATTCCCAATCCTGTCCCCCCCTACCCAATCTCCAACCCTGGTGGTGGACCTCTCTGATCCCTGCAACAAAGCGCTGGGGGGCAACAAAAGGCTGGGGGTCGTTGCCCATTTTTATGGGGGGCTCGTTACCCCACAAATGGGGTTCTGCGTCCCAGAGGCGAGCCATAGGAAAGGGATATCAAGCTGCTTCCTTCTCTACAAAAACACATTTTTTTCCTTTTCTTGAATCCGATCGGGAGAGAACAGAAAAAAAATGTGCATTTGAAACATCTGATTACCCCTCTTCCCGAGCGCATTTCTCGGCGGCGGCGGATCTCTTGTTTTTTTTCTTCGTCTTTCCTGAGTAGGGACGCAGAATCATGAAATACTGGATCTCAGCCGGCATTCAGGCCAGGGTTCGCCCCGGCTGGGGGCTAGAGACGCTGAAAACGGCACTATGTGCCCCACCAAGCGCACTATTTGAAGAAAGCAGGAACAATTAAAAACAGCTGTGGATGCCTCCAGTGTGCTTGGCGGGCTTCAGAGGCTCGCAGCCGCGGCCTTTTTGTGGCGATTACGAGGTTTTTCGCTGAGATTTCTTCTCCCCGCAACGTTACATTTTTGTAAATCTTGTAGGGAGAATGACTGCCTTTAGTCACAGCAGCCTCGTGTTAATCCTTGAAGTGCGATGCCGAGATTCATCTCCACACATAAACATATATGTTTTACGTTAGGGGAAATTGCAGGGAGTTGAAGACTCATTCCATGATGAGGAAGGATGCTTTTTTCAAAAAAGCCTTAGCGCGGGTTTCCATGTAAGCGCCCCAAAGTGTTAGGCGCCAAGAAAACGGACAATCTGTTGATAATCTGAACAAAATAAGTTTAAGTTAAAATGGGAAAACAAATTGTCTACAGCTGAATAAGTTTCCTCAAACAGAGGAGACACATTTGTATTTGAAGGCTAAAATTCAGCATAGTTTAGTAACATTGCTACAGATTGTTTTATACGGAGAGGATAAATAAGAATTTGACCCATTAGAGATAGCCGGGTGGCAGACTCCTATTTAAAGTGAGGCTGCTTAGAAATAAACAAAATTGTAGCATATTTGCTGAGAGTTGACTTTTTTTGATTAGAAATAAAATATTGACCATTAGATAGATGAATGAATGAAGTGCAGATTTCCAACAATGAAAGATATTTATCTGGGAACTTGGGGGGAACACAATTTTCTTTTTAGAAGTGCCTTTTAATCTTTAGGATATGCACCCTTTTCTGCAAGAGAGAATAATATCAGGACTTCTTATGTTTGCTAGAGTTTACTGTTGTGGTGACCACGGAACTGTCAAATTCTTAGCTTTATTTTAATCCAGAAAATTTACTTCATCTAATTGTTAACTAATAGATATTCTTTTCCAAAAAGTCAGGTTAAAAATCAGTATAGATGGCAGGGGAAATTCAAGTTTATAAATTATCCCAAGATTTTTAAAGTTTGAACAAGTTTGAATCAATTGATTTTTTTTTTTATTTCAAAATGTTAACCAGGATTTTTGTTGTTGTTAAAAATAGCTTTAGTATTATATTTATCATAATTTCCATTCATTGCACAAAAAAGTAATTTCTATTCATTATACAAAAAGTAAGGGAAAAATATTTCAGAAAATTGAAAAAAAAAAATGAAGACAATCAAGATCACCTGTAACCTCTTCATTCTTAGATAACCCCGGTAAGCATTATGGAATTTGTTTTTTAAGACTTAATCTAATTAATACAATTTTGGTGAGAGTTGTATATATATAATTTCTAAAATTAAAAATGTGATCAAATGAATTTTCTCCATTATATTCTTTTCAAGGATACTTAACTGTCAAATAACATTACATTTTCAGAGACTTTTTTAAAAACGGAATGTTAATTACTTTTTCTAATTAGAATTTTAAATGAACATTAGTACATAAAGATCTATACCTAGAGAACTGAGAATTTTCACTATTCTAACATACACATACTGACCATTTTGGTGTATTTCCTTATGTTGTTTATTCTTCTACATATGAAATAATTTTTGCTTTGCCTTAGAAATACAATTTTTCAAGAGAAAATATCGGTAGATAACTAGTTTTGATTAACCTTTCTTATCTAAAACAGCAAAATGTTAAAAATAAAAACAAAATACAGGGTTAATAGACAATACTTTACATAACATTTTTGTGTTACCTAAAACAACAAAACAACATTAAAAACTACCCCCCAAAATTAACAAAGAATTTAATACCTTTTTGACGTTTAGAATCATAAGTGAATTTTAGATTTTCTCAGGTATTTGTTCCTAATGTTGACTATTTCTTATCTATTTTGCACAAGATTACATGTAAAGCAAAATGTAATGCCAGATTACATTTCATAGCTAATGTGCATTATCTGTTTTACCAAATAAGAACTGGGCATTGTATTTGGACATTTTAATCCATCTTAATGAAAATTTTCTCTGAATCTATGAAGCTGTTGATTTACCACCAACATTTAGTGGGGAAATTGTATTTCCCCACTAAAAAGCTGTTTCACATGAACTGCCTCCAAGCCAAAGGCTCTGGAAGCTTGTTTAGTGGGGAAATTGTATTTCAAAACCAAGTGGAATATTCACTTTTCAAATAATAACTAGACTTCTATTTGGACATCTTACCTATTTAATGACAATTTGCCATTTATTTGTGAAGCTATTGATTTACTTCATGTATTTAGCTTAATTTCTCTGATGGTGAGAAAATTGTATTTCAAAAACAAAGTGGAATTTTCATTTGTCAAATTATAAGTGGACTTTCTAGTTGGACATTTTATCTATTTTTAAATGACAGTTTGCTATGGATCTGTGAACCTGCTGGTTTACCATATACATTTGGCCTACCTTTTAGTATGGTGGGGAAATTTATTTCTAAGCAAAGTAAAATTTTCAGTGGTCATATATTAACTGGACTTGGTATTTGATAATTTTATCCATTTATTATAAGAGTTTGCCATAAATTTAAAAGCTGTTGATTTACCTCATATATTTAGCCTTAATCTAGTACGGTTGACAAATTGTATTTCTAAACAAAGTGGAATTTTCACTTACTGTAATGAAAAAATACTGGTAAGAGACAACCTCAAAGAGATAAAGATAATATGTATCCAGTTTCCCTAACACTGGCTTTCCATGGATGGAAACCATGTTCAAACCAAAATGCCGCAACAGTGAAGAAACCCTGACATCTTAAAATTTCTCAATCAAATATTCAAATTGGGTGGGATTATAATTTGTGCCGTATTTATAGATCACATTTTCTCCAAAACAACTAGTTACCTTGTTCCTTTTTCTTTTTTACTAATTGACCACACTTACTCTATCAGTCCCCTTTTCTTGAAACTCACCCTTACCTCCATTCTAAATACCAGTGCAAATTCTATTGCTGATTCTACTCTTAGTGTTAAAAGGGACTCCCGGTGAATAGATGATATGGGTGTCCGTGTCCGTGAGAGATTCTTGGGCTGGAGCTCTGTTTCGGTCAGGGGCTTCACAGAAATAGTAACATGGTGATTTTGGTTTTATTTCCATTCTTTCCAATGAGCAAAGACAAAGAGACAGACATGACAGACACACAGATGCAAAAAACATCCAGTCTTTTTCTAAACTTCAGGATCTGCTGCTATCTCCCTGGTTTCCAGAAATATTAAACCAAAAGCAGCAATGCAAAATTAAAAATAAAAAAAGAAGAAATTGGTGTTTCTAAGGATCAACAAGTCTTTTCAAAGGACTATTTTTTTTTTTTTCTGACTGGGGTTTTCAGGTTGATAGGATCAGATGGGGCCTCAGTGCTCTTAAAGCTGTTTCACATGAACTGCCTCCAAGCCAAAGGCTCTGGAAGCAAAATTCCCGGGGTCTTCAATTTTTAAAACATTGTAACTATAGCAAAGACAGGATTGAGTGAAAACTACCCCTGCAGTCTGCTATGAGAACATTTGCATGGATGCTGCCGGTTTTCTAGTTAGATGCATGTGCATATATATTTTTATGTGACTATTGTTTTAATATATGTAGATTTTTTACACTTTGTTTTGCAAGATAAGTGAATTTTGCTTTCCACAAAGCATTTGTCAGGGCTTTAGGATGCTCTTGTGTGTGACAGGGTGTGTAGACTACTAGCAGGATTGCTTTGTAAGCGTGACTCCGGCTGAACCAGCACCTGCCAGGTGTGTGGGTTACTGAGCGCGGGTCCGGCAGTGGTCCCCGCTGAAGAATCACACGCCTTTGCCTTAGTTCTTCTCTTCTTCAAAATTTTTATGAATGACTTTGATGAAGACCTAGGGCACTTGCTTTAAAATCCATAGATGACTTGCAAAGGGATCACTGTTAGAATTAGATAACAGAACTTAGAGTTACTATGGTTTAAATAGGTTGCAATGCTTTGCAAAAAGATATTTTATACTGGTAAATGCATCATAATTCACTAAGTGTGAGGAAGGAGGTGACTTAACATGGTGGTGATTTTTTGAGGAAAAAGGCCAATATGAACCAGCAGCATGATGTGGCTGCAAAAAAAAAAAAATCACATATAAATTCTGATAATAGGATAGTGCTCATATGTCACAAAAATTAATAGTACCCTGCTCTAATTAACCACATCTGTAGTATTGTGTCCATTTCTGGCTGTCACATTTAAAGAGAGATGTTGACAAATTAGACAACTTCCAGAGCAGCGTGTGGGGATG